GCAAAGACCCTCTCAGTGGTACTGTATGTTGGTCTTTTCTCCTCTCCAATGAAAGCACAGATCGCGTTCACGGGGGCTTCATCATGCAGCTTTTTCTAAGGCTTTGCAGGCTTTGTCAATACCACACTAAGATGAAGAGGCCACAACTACAGGTGCTGGTGAGGGCTTGGGAGCACTGGAGTAAGAGCTAAGAACTTGGCATTCGAGACCCTCTCTGTCCAACTGTGGGAGCTTGAGGGCTTTCCTCTGCACTGTGTGTGGTGGGTTAAGAAGTGTCTCCCCAAGATTCATGTTGACCCAGAACCCAGACCTAGTTTGGAAACAGGGTCTTTGAGGATGTAATTAAGATGCAGTCGTAATGGATGAGGGCAAGCACTAAATCCAACAGGTGAGAGCCTTCTAGGAGAAGAAAGGACATGGACCCAAGGAAGAAGGCCAGGTCATGGAGGAGGCAGAGATCAGAGTGATGTGGCTGGAAGCCAAGGAATGCCAACGGTTGCCGTGAGTCATGAACAGCTATAAAAGGGCAAGGAAGCCCTTTCCCTAGAGCCTGCAGAGGGAGGGTGGCCCAGCCAAAGTTTTGATTTTGGACTCTTGATATTCCAGAACTGTGAGAAGAGACATTGTTCTGTGTCATTGTTGTTCCAAGTCACCTGGTTTGTGGTCTTTGGCAGCTCTAAGAAATGAACATACTCTGTTGTTCTCTTTAGTTCCAACAAGGACTGAGGCTAATGTGGCGTGTGCAAAGTACAGGAGGCAGCCCAGGTTGCAGGGGTGCTGCCTTTCTGGTTCTTCCTTCTCTAAGATACAGAGGCGTCAAAGGGGCTTCTCTCTGCTTCCATGATGAGAATCCTGATTTGCTCAAAGGCTCAGAGCAAATCGAGCAAGTTTGCACACAGTCTGGAGAAAGGTCAGGACCCAACATCATCACACTGCACGCACACCCTGGCCCAGGTTTTCATGCCGCACAAACCAGGACAATAATGTTTCTCCCCAAGAACAGTTCACCCATCTGCACCATGGGAGTGAAATGCAGGCCTTTGGGAAACCAAAGGAGGCAGCACTGAGCAGGTGCCCTGAAAATCACAGCTGATGAAGATGATGATGGTGACAATGGGGGAGTTCTGGCCTGCTGGGCCAGACCTGCTGGGCCCCGAGCAGTGCCTTGGTGCCTTGGTGATCGCAGCCCAACGCCCTCCCCCCCTCCTGCCCCGAGCTGCTTGCTTCACTGGCACACACACACCACCCTCACAGCTACCATTGGGGTAGCTCTAACCTCCAGCCCTGGGCTCGGCAGTGGGGGTGAGGAATGGACTCCCTGGGTTAAGAAAACACCGCATGCGCCTCCAGCGCCTCTCCCATTGCGCCCAGATTCTTCATTTCCCAGCCTGACACAATCACTTTTCTAGACTCAGTAACAACCTCTGTGTCAGATCTTTGTGTTTTAAATAATGTTCCCCTCATGTAACTGATGTTTATGCAGAATCAATCCTTTTAAAGGCTAACAGCCTTCCTATTTGTGTAACCTGTGCTGTCTCCTGGTTCCACGGGAAGGTGACATCTTTTGTTTGCTTTACTCTTCTCTTTGTTTCTCGCTGCTGTTCTGACTCTGCTCTCTGTGTCTGTGTGTATCACTCTCCACTTGGCAATGTCTTCCTCCTCGCTCACATTCTCCCTCTTTCAGGGTCTGTCTCCACCTCTTCTCACCCCTTCTCCCTCCCTTCCCCACCTCCCTGCCTTCCTTTTTCTCTCCCCCATTCAAGCACAGGTTGTTCTGTGTTTTGTTCCTTTTGAATACCTATGTTTTGCTCCTGTTTCTTCCTGTCTTTCTCCTTTTTTTTTATCTCTTTTATCCACTTCCTTGATGCCAGCTGCCTCTTCAGTCTCTATATCACACACCTCTGGGTATCAAGCTATTTATGTATTTTGCCTTTGTTTACTCATCCATCCATCCATCCATCCACCCACCCCCCCTCCCAACCACCTATCCATCCATCCGTCTACCCAGCCGTCCATCCATTCATCCATCTGTCCATCCATCCACCCATCCCTACATAGCTAGCTATCTACCTAGCTACCAACCATCTATCTTATCTTCTATCATCCAGCTACCTATCTGGCATCTCTGTATATATCCATCAGTCTATCTTCTGGATAACTGTGTTTCTGCCTCTCAGATTCTCTTCTCTTTTTTCCAGCAATTCCTCTACATGCTTATCTCTCTCTTTTTTTCTCCTCTCACACTTTCTTAAATGGCCTCTCCCTCTGTCTTTACCTCTTTCTCTCACTTTCTATTTCTTCCTCTTCCCTAAAGTATACTAATATTTTAGCACCCTTCGTGCCTCTCAGGATCCTCAACTCTTACCATGAATCAAAAGTGACAAGTTTCCCAAGAGCTTCCATTTTAGACCTGTTCATTCTCTCTCCCGACCTACCTGTCACCCTGCCCTCACTTTGTACAAAGGTGGAAAGTGAAATGAAGGCACCTGGCATCTTCTCCCCTGTCCTGTGCTTCAGCCCTGAATTTGGAGGGTGTGGGGTCGGAACTCGGAGTTGGGGGTTGGCAGAGCAACTACTTGCAGGAAATACTCTGAGAAAAGTCAGTTTGGTGGGGGTTACATCCGTGCCCTTTGATGTGTTCTTTATGTCCTTTGACAAAAGTTGCTTAGCACATGTTCTTACTAGACTCTGTCTTGGGAGCCCAAGGGGGATGAATACATCTTGAACCTCTCACTCAAAAACCCTTACAGTTTCTCCAGGAAACTGTAGGAATGATTAAGCTATTAAGATAATAGATTCAAAGAAAGGGCTGCAAGGGAAAAGGAATCGACTGTGGTTAGGAAGAGTAGAGAAGGCTTCACAAAGGAGGGATGATAAGCGGCATGAAGGTGGGGCCAACCCAATGTCCCCGCAGCATCCGCGGGACTGCAGAAGGCACCAGAAAGCTCGTGCAGTATAGGAATAAGCGAAAGGGTGAATTGGGATAACTTAAAGGCTGAATAGCATTTGGTCATGGACAAAAGCTGAAGATAAGCATCCTAGTCAGAAATAAGGAGCTGAGTAAGGACGCAAACGGAAAGGCACACAGTGCACTCAGACCCTCTCTTTGGGGCTGACCCTCCTGTCCCCTAGATGGTGGCAGGTAGCTCCCAGCTGTCCTCTACTGGGCACCACCTTCCGCCATAGGGAACTCCCTCCCTCTGAGGCACCCCCTTCTGCTGATGCGCAGATTGGGTCCTCCATTTGGGCCATCACAGCCCCAGGGGCCCCCTGGGGGCCAGCAGAGGCTTCAGGGCCACACAGCATATCACGCACTGCAAGACAGCCCCTTCCTGTCCAGCTCTCTTGCTCACCTCCAGAAGGTGTGCCCCAACAGGCCTCCTCACCTCCCCGTATGCAACTCTCCATTTCGGAGTCCGCTTTCAGGGGCCCCAACTCAAGATGGTGCTTCAGGGAGTGAGAAGAGACTTGTGGCTGGTGCCCAGGGCGTATGCGCAGCCCAGGGAGGCAGGGGCCAGATTAGGATGAGCCTTGACTGTCAGGGAAGCAGATTGAGAGTCTCTTCTCTAAGGGGGGAGAATGCTGACCCGAGGGGTGCCTAGCTACATTCACTGGCAGTCCGTCTGAGATATAGAACAGAAAGGGGTGAAACTGGAAATAGCAGAGACCCTAGCCTTGGTCTCCCAGTCCGAGGAGGGACACATGGGAGAAGGACCAGACACCCAAGATGCTCAGAGGCCTCTTCCTGTTACGAGTGTGTTCGCGGGTGACCCCCTCTCTCTGGGGTCTGTGTTCCAAGTTACGTGCCATGGTGACGGGCACTGGGTGAGTAGTGCACCCCCTCTCTTGCTGCGGTGTCTTCACCATCTCCTGCGCGGTGGGCTTCACAGACAGTCAGGACTAAGACTCTCCTTACTTGGGTTCTCTTTTCAGAAAACAACATCCAGAAACTTCCATGTCTATTTCTCATTTTAGAGAATGTTGGGAGATTCACAGATGAGAGCATCTAGCCCAGTTTTCTGGAAAACTCATTTGGAAGGAATCGTGCAGTAGGCTAGAATCCATGACCTTTCCAGGGGTGGTGGGTTACTTGCATGCCGTAGTCAAAAACAGAGTTAACGGGTACCTGGTCAACGGTTCTGTGCTTCTGTCTTGACGTTGCTCTCTATGGTCAGTGTGATTTGGGGTGAGTCCCCCATCCAGTACTTCTGATGGTTCTAATTTATGTCCATAAAGTTGGGATGACAGGCAGGTGCCCATTTTGCGTGACTGCTACAGGAGCTCTGGAATCTGCAAATACATGAGCTGTAAGTTAAGGGCTGTGAAGTGGGGAGAACTTTCTCTTTAGGCTCTGGTGGAGCTTGGGACAAACTTCTCTTCTGCCACACGAAAAGCCAGGAGGCATTCAGCAAGACACTGCCTTTCTGAACCACAGTTCTTTCCCTCTTTTTGAAAGGTTTATTTATTTATGCATACAGAACTGGGGTACAGGCCAGAGGCGCAGGGGCAGTGACATCAGAAATAGAGTGGGGAACAGAACAGGCAGATAGATAAAGTACACTGCTGAGGGGAGTAGCAGGCAGGTCAGGAGAGGTCTGCCACACCATGTGGGTCACCTCCGGGGTGGGGATCAAACTCATGCTGAAGCGGCTTTAGCTTCTTAGTACTGTGCTTTAACCTGCTGTGCCACCAGGGGGTTCTCTTCTTAATAAATGGAAATTTTCACACTGGCCTTCCCAAATTACACAGATTAATGAAGTAGAGAGCCCAAAATTCTAAGCGCATTCCACTTTATCCGAAGTAGTCTTCAATACCACATCCTAGGAAGGTTTTTATTTATTGGTGTTTTTATTTTCTTCTTTGCTTTGAAGATATTTGTTTCCTTTCCTGTATTACACCTATCCTAAATGGTATTCTCAAATACAATGTGTGTGCATCGGCAGTGTTAAATACTGTGGTCCAGATGTCCCTGGGGTTTAACCGTCCCCTCTCTCCCCAAGGGAAGAAGCGATGCTGTCCACATACTTTGAAACCATCAACGACCTGCTGTCCTCCTTCGGGCCAGTCCGTGACTGTTCTCGCAACAACGGAGGCTGCACTCGAAACTTCAAGTGTGTATCTGACCGCCAGGTGGACTCCTCAGGATGTGTGGTAAGTGACCACTGACCCACAAGCCTGGCTTCTTGCTGGAAGCCTCCCCCACCCCCGCCACCACCTTGAGGATGCTGGTCAGGGAAGAGCTCTCGCTTTGTAGCGTGTGTTTGTGGCCTTCAGCTCCCCAGCCTGCCTTGGTTGGTTTCCTCCTCCAGGAAGTAGGATAGTTAAACCTACCCCATGGGGTGTTCAGAAGAAGGACGTGAAATATTAGAACTTTGGTACCCAACGTAACTGGGTCCTTGAGAGCTCCTTGCCACAGAAAATCTATTGGGGATTGTGGGGGCATGTCTTTCTTCAGGAAACACCATGGAGGGGGTGTCAATGATATGTCTAGAAGAGAAAGTTTCTGCTGAGGTTTATCGAAGGCATCACGGGGAAGTTGGTTTTGGAACTGCATACAGGAGATGGACCAATGTTTGTTGAGGAGAGTTTGGGGTGGCTTGGGCATGAGGTGGGAGGGAGGGAGTCGCAGCTTTGGCTTACAGAGCATGAGTCTGAGGCAGTCTGAGGACTCAGAAGAGGAGGCACGGGGCGTGGGGGGAAGGTCTCCCAGCTGGATGATGTGTGACGTTATAGGAATGCCCCAGAATGTGTATACAAAATGCCGGCCCAAGGGTTCCATATGAGAACTTTTATTCAGTAGAGGAAAATTACATCCCTGAGGCCTGAGTTAGTAACAGATGGATGAACAAGTTGTGTTTGGGCAGAGAATGGTCTTAGAAAGTTACCCGGGCAGCACTGCCCCATCGGCTGAACTCTTTAGCTTGGCATTCGGCGCCCCTGTGGGTCTGGTCCCCTTCAGTCTCTTCACCACTTCGCTTCATTCTACATCTGAGCCACACAGAGCTAACTGGGAATTCTCTGACACACCTGCCTGCTTGCTACCGCAGGGCCTCTGCTCATGCTGTGCTTTCTGCTCAGTGAATCAGTGAATCGCTCTTCAGTCCATGTTGCAAACAAGTAGACCCTTGTCTAGGTTTGTCTCTTTCATGAAGTCTCCCCCTCCCCCCATCTCAGAAAGTGATCCCATTTTAATAAGGCCCATTACTGGCTTTTTGCAAGTTTATTTCATCCAGTAGGTTAAGGGAGACCCCAGGGGGCCTATTGATCTGGATCAGCACCCCGCCGGTATCTATCTCAGTAAGTCCATATGAAAGATAGGGTCCGGGGTTGGAATTCTGCTTGGACTAGAGTCTGGAACAAAACCAGAGACATGGGCTGGAAGACAGTTGTGGAAAGACATCCACCAGGTTCTGTGTTTCTAAAATCAGAGGATGCAGTAAAACTGTATTTTAACTCAAAGGTCAGCAGCTCTTCAGCAGTGGACGGGCAACTGGGGATTTTGTTAATTAAAATTCTTGGTGGTGTAAGTGACAGAAATTCACTCACTTAGGGAAAAAGAAGGAAAATGTTGAGCCAAATGGAAGTGTAGGTGCAATGGGAGGGAAGGGCTCAAACAGTGGCACTGAAATTTTTACTCTGCTTTCCTCAGCACCTGCCATCCTCGGGCCAGCTCCACCCTCTCTGCTGTGTCCTGTAGGACTGGTGTCGCCTCCCTAGTCCCTCCAACCCAAGTCACAGGCTTCCATCTCATTGGGCTAGTGGTTCTCATGCTCATGTCTAGGCCAGTCACTGGGGCCAGGGGCAAGGGCTGGCTCATCCCAGAACCAGTCACACGGGGGCCTGGGCCAAGCAGCACCTAAAATACGTGACAGTGAGGTGGGCACAGGCATAGCAAACTCTAGCATCAGGAGCGGGATCACGGGTGCTCGGTGGGTACACAGCAGCTGCTGCTGCTTCAGACGGTGCTACCCAGCCTTTGTTTTTCATCTTGGAAAGATGCCAGTGAGGGAAGGGAGGATGTGCCCCAAACTTAGTGCTCATCAGTGGACAAGCGACCCACAAGAATGTCCCAAGTCATCCCTGTTTTTTTCCAAAACAGGAGGCTGACATTTGAGGAGGATTAAGTTGCCTGCCTCTCCTCCCTCTTTCCACCAGCTCACTCTCCTGAACTAATTAAGCTCCTTATTCTTGAGGATCGATGTCCCAGAAGGATGAAACCTCAGAGCATGGACGTGTGTGTATGATGTGTGTGATGTGTGTCTTTCCCCTTCATTAATGTACACTGGAAAAATAAAAAGAGAGGGAGACAGAACATCTATTCCCTGGAGGTTTAGAAAAACTTCAGCAGTCTGATGAGGCTGTCAGAGACCTTCCTCTCTAGATTATAGATCTAATGCTAGAGCCGCAATTTCAGGGCTCGGTGGATGGAAGGCAAGCACTTCTTTGTGCCTTCAGAATAGGCAGGGCTGTCCCCGCTTCCACACTGAAATTGAAGTTTCTCATTTCTCCATAGACTATCATGCCTGTAAAAATAGAAGCTTCCTTAGTTTATCTTCTAGAAGACTCCATCTGGCAAAACATGATGATACTATATATTATATATGAAAAGTAATATCCTATGTAATACATAATATATAATATCATATCATAGATAATGTAAAATACATATACATGCACATAAGTATACATCATTTTGAAGTTCTCAAAGCACGAAGGCATCCAATAACTACCTCAACAAAACCAACCCTGGACGTGTATGGAAGCGAGGCTCAGAAAGCAGAGTGATTTTCCAAGGTCTCACCACCAGGTGGCAGGATGGAAGCCCAGGAAAGCATCTGTTCTCAGTGTCAGGGTTGCCTCCTGTGGAGGGGAGGGGGTGCAAGCAGAGGACCTTGGAAAGAGGAAAGGTCTGAGCAAAGGGGGCTTCAACCCTGTTTTGGGCATGGGCCAGCTTTAGGCTCAATATTGACCTCATTCGCCTTGGTTTCCTCATCTTCACAACGAGGAAGCATCAGCTCTCGAAGTCCCACTTTTTCTGAAAAATCAAAGACCATAATTGGCAATGATTTGGGATTTATAAAATGCCACTTACATGTGAGATAATGAGACCACAACTATTGATGTTTTTATGTAGTGGGTTTGATGTATGGGGCCACAGAAATTCTGAAGCACAGCATATCTAATTTTCTGTAATGTTTCCATAACGGAATTGCATTTTTGTTCTGCTCTATCCATTGGTAATGGAAACTTAATTCTAGCCCATTTAGATTTTATGCTGCTGACTTCTTCCTGAACATTTAAGTTCAAGGGGCTGTGAGAATAAGAGGACACTGGGTGCTGAACCAACCTCATCTCCCGTCGCTGTTGTCTCACCTTGCCCTTCCCTGTTTATGCCAGGAGAGCTCTGTGCCCACCGAATGCAGGTGGGCGGTTCACCCTGGCATATATCTTGTTCTCTTAGTTTCACCATAAGGTCATTTGAGGTCACTCAGCTCCATCCCTCAGAGACCTCCCCACCCTATTGGGGGTATGAGAATGGTCTAGTGACCCCTCTCTTCTACCTCAGGATTGTGAGGAGCTGAGGGGAGCTGGCTGAGGTCCTCACGACCCAGACAGGCCATGACGGCACCTGTAGTTGGTGGCTCTCATGCCAGGAGCACTCACCAGTGCCTGGTGAGCCTAGGCATCTCTGCCACCAGACCCCCCAAAGCTGCTTGACTTTGCAGCCGCTCATCCTCTTCAAGCACCTCACTAACTACTCTGGTGGGGGTAGAGCGCAGGTCTGAGACACCCACACTTCCCACTCCCCAGACACTGACAAGGTCACCTCATTTGACTTCAAATATTCCTCTCTTCCCTGAGCCCCAAAGACCTTTACTTCCTTGCGGTAGGAGGGGGATAACTCTTCATAGATCAAAATGCTTCCGCTGTTTGTTAGTATTATTGTTGTTGGCATTATCATTTGTAATTAGTGTTCTACCTTCTATCTAGACCCAAACTTCTGAAACACAAGAGGAAAAAAAAAATCTGGCCTTATTTTGCTTGGTTTTATCCTAGGAAAGTCTTTCCATTGATGCCCACACCCTGGTGCCCAGGCCAGTGAATTTTACAGTACCTCACACAGCAAACGGGGTCCAGTTTGCATATGGAATGAAGATTGCTAATAAGCTTACCTTAAATGAGGGCGATTATCCTGAATTATCAGGTGGTCCAGTGTCATCTGAGTCCTTAGCTAGAGAAGAGGGAGGCAGCAAAGGAAGTCAGAGTGATGCAGTGTCACTAGCTTTAACCATGGAGGAAGCGGGGTCCAGCTAACAAGTCTCTAGGAGTTGGAAAAGGGGTAGAAATGGATTCAGGGCCTGCCCTGGTGGCTCCGCAGGTTAGGATGCAGCATTAGAAGCAGGCTGCAGCTGCTTCAGTGCCAGTTCAATCCCTGCCCCAGAGGTGACCCACATGGTGCAACAGGCCTCTCCTGTGTCACCTGCTGCTCCTCTCAGCAGTGTACTTCATCTATCTGCCTGTTCTGCTCCCCACTCTGTCTCTGGTGAATTCTCTCACTGCTCCTGAACCACTGGCCTGTACCCCAATTCTGTATATGTGAAGTAATACATATTAAAAAAGAAAGAAAGAAATGCATCCAGGCCTCAACCCTCCAGAACAAATACTGCTCTGCCTGCACACACCTTGAATGTAGCCAGTGAGACCTTTGTTGGCTGCCAGCCTGCAGAACTATAGGCTGAGGCATTTGTGTGGCCTCAGTCCACCAAGCTTGTGGGAATTTGTTACAAGAGAAAACCAATGCAGGGTGAATACGGATATGGGGAGGGAGTGTGATCCAGAGGGTACTTATGAATTACCCTACAGTTAGGATTTTCAATCGTTACCGAGAAGGTCCTCACCTCTTGACCCAGGATGGAGGCAGTAGCAATGAATGAAGCATCAGAAAAGGGAAGGAGCTTGGTTCTCCTCCAGTGAGATGCAGAGTCAAGGGTTGTTACCTATTAGAATGGTCTACATCTGCCAGACATACGATGTCAGCAAGACTCTAAAAAGAAAGGGATGGTTGCCTTGATTCTTTGCGGCAGCTAAACTTTGCAAAATTTTAATCAAGATAGAGGACAAAACCTAAGCAAACTGTTAGCACTTAATCC